TTTTCCAAGTTTAAGGGTTTTAAATGAGTATTTCTGTCTCAAACAAAGAATGAAGAGTAGATTCTTAAGCAGTCTTTTCCTCTCTAGGTTTTTTTATACCGTAAATTTTGGGGACGAGGTAAGCAGCCCCTACCTTGTGACGAGCCCACTGCTAGTCACTGGTTTTTAACCTAAGCGCTTGTGAGCTGAGGACATCTCAGCTAGAGTTGTTACTAGAAGAAGACCATTATCCTGATGAGTTTAGATTTAGGTGTTAAAATATTTGTGAAGCCTATATTTGTAAAGCCTTGGTACATGTTCCATGGTAAATGTTTTGCAGGGTTAATTACCACGGTCTAATAAAATTTTATTGTCAGGTAGTTTTGAATAATATCCTTTCTTTTAACTTGCACTCCAGTGGTGGAGCATAATGTGCTGCTTGTTTTGACAATATATTGCGATTTTTTTTAATATCTTGGTTTATTTGGCTCTCTGTATACAGTTAATTAGGTTTCGTCATTGCTGTTAGATTGTCTGGTGGTCAAGCAAAACAAGTTCCTACTAACATCTCGAGGATTTGTGGCTCAATCCGTCTTGAGTCATTGGCGCTCCTAACCCCCCTACTCTCCGCTTTATTGAGCTAGCACCTAAATATGCACGTCACTTGACAGCTGTTTTGCATTGACCGACCCTTAGATTTCATTTATAGTGTCTTATTAATTCATTAATTAATTAAAAAAAGGAAAGATAAATCACACCACAATTTCCTCTTGTTTATAAAAAAAAGCGTGGAAGTCTACCAAAAGTCTGCTTCAAGTTCGGCATTATTAACACAAGATCTGCAAGTCTGGAAAGTAGGCGTACATTGAAATTGCAAAAAACATATTTCGGAAAAGTAAAGGAATATAGAGACGAAGGTGGGCCGATATATTATCTTAGTGAAGCTCGGTATGATATAGTCAACGCCAAACAAAGTGGCGTGCACGTCATCACGATAAAAATTCCCCGACCTAATGCCTAGGTTTCTATCACAAACAATTGCTCTATTGCAGTTTCATATTAATGTGATATATAAATTGTAAAATGGTCATTACTCTCTTATTATGGTTAATAGTCATATAAACATTGTTATTAAAATATCACATAAGTTGCTTTCTGATAAATTTAGACGCATTATGCGAAATAAAATGTTTTGCAAACGCTCCAATCACTTATCGACATGTAAACGCACTAAACCGATTTCGCAGCGTTGACACATTGTCACCTTGAAACTTATTTAAACTGGGAACTGACATTTGTATTAATTTTGACACTGAATCAATTTGTGGCATTTCAAATCTTTATAAATCCTTTGGCCCCGCATACTGTAAATCAACAACTGTTTGTTTCAAAACAAAATTATTCATTTTACGAGTAGATAAAGGCAATTTTGGTATATAAAGATGCCCAAACAGTTAAATAGTCGGTGTAAGGAACTCGTGGCCTCGTTAATGCACTACTTTGAGCAAGAAAGGGACAACAACGGGCCTTTGTTGCCTTTAAATGCTGTTCAAGAGGTAGGTTACTAATAATTATATGTAATGTATATTAATAATAGTGAAATTTTATTTCATTTTTTGTAGCGTGTTGCTGCTGCTTTAAAAATTAGTTTAAGGACAGTTAGTCCTATTTCCGAGGGTGTGAAAAGTGATGCAAATTTAGAATCGCCCAAGAAAAAGCGGAGTTATATTAAACGTGTAACCAACACAGCGACATTGGATACAAGTGCCATTCGAGAAGTGATCTATAATATGTATCACAAAAGTAAGATCTTATTATAATAACTTATCAGAAATTTGCATTAATTTGTTAACTAAATTATAATGTCATATTACACATGGTTTCAGAAGAACAAGTTACGATACAAACTTTATGGTCTCGATTAAGAGATAGGGCATTATTTGATGGTAGTGCCACGTCTTTAAGGCGGTTGCTTAGAGATCTTGGATTTAAGTGGCTTAAGGACAATCCGCGACGAGGGCTCATGGAACTACCAAGTATAGCTTTGAAAAGGGTGGAATTTCTAAGGCAATACAATCAAGCCAAGGTTGAGGCCTTATACCAGTTTGTCTTCCTCGATGAAACTTGGATATTTCAAAATGGGACCATAGGTCGCTCTTGGCAAAATGGAAACCAAAAAAGCGTGAAAGCTATTAAAACAGATGGTAAAAGGTATGTACTCTTACACAATTTGCACTATAAAATTTAAAACTAATATATTTTAGATACATTATATTACATGCTGGAAATGAAAATGGGTTTATTGAGGATAGTGAAGCGATATTTTCTTCGAAAACAAAATTGAGCGATTACCATGGAGAGATGAACCAGGACAATTTTTTGAAATGGTTTCAACATCAGTTATTAGAAAAATTGGAGATTTCATCTATGATTATACTGGATAACGCCCCTTATCACAGCATGATATTGAACAAAGTGCCCAACAATGCATGGACAAAAAAAAATATCCAAGACTGGTTGACAAATCAAAACATACCATTTTTAAACACAATGTTTAAAACAGAGCTATTGAGTATTGTTGCTCGGTACATAATGCTTCTTAATTATATATATTTTGGTCGACAGTTTATATTTCTTTTGTTTATTCCTATTCTTAAAATAACTGCTTTTTTAGAAACAAACCACCTAAAATATACGTGATTGATGAATTGGCGGAACAACATGGGCACAAAGTTCTTCGTCTGCCTCCTTACCATTGTATATTTAACCCTATTGAGTTAATTTGAGGCGTAGCAAAAGGTTACTATAACAGACATATTGGTAGAGATGGTAACAGTGAAAAAGACTGTTTGGATATGTGGAACGAGGCTCTACAAACGGTTACCCCAGACATGTGGAAAAATAGTGTTCGACATACTGAGCAAGAAATTTTTAAATGGTATGAAAGAGAACGAATTTTTGATCGACCAGACATCGAACCTTTAATAATCAACTTTGAGAGTGATGAAGATTCAGATTCAGACAGCGCTGAAGAAAGAAACTCCGACTAACTTTATTGTACAGAAAAAGCTTACACCAGTAGCTTACCTAATTTTAGAATGCATTTTTCTGTATGAATTCTGTAAAATAAATACCATGCATAAAATTTGGAGGACCCCATTTGGATTTTTATTCAGTACCTTTAAGCTATCAATTAAATATGGTAGTTTCATAGTGTCATCTGATCAATAATTGTCATACTTAATGATTATGCAAGTACAGATCTATAATTTTATTATACTATTATTTTTGTTCTCATTTGAGGTTAATATTGCTTATAAACCTAGATATGTAAATAATAAATTTTATTATTTTACAAAAAGTTTGGCAACAATGTAAATTTTTCAACACACCCACCTTGATGACGTGCACGCCACTTTGTTTGGCGTTGACTATACACACGATGCGCTACATATTTGAAAATACATTCTTAAATCCGTCCCTGTCCTCAGAAACTGATTTGTCCTTCTTAAGGCGATCGAAAGGGACTATACGTCTGTCGTGAACTATACATATCGTCGGACATCTGACAATATCTGCTATCTGACATTTTTGCCCAACTTGAGGTATATGCAGATTTTTCTTCGTCTACCTACAGCGGACATTGTGATAGAGTCCGCTAACTGCAGAAAAATACAGTTTTTGAATTCTTCAGCCAAAACAATACCTACCACTGGCAACACGTCTGACAATGAGTGGCAATTCCAGCTATCTGCCAATTACGCATGCTATTTTTCTCAACTTTGCAACGACGATGTTGTGATTTCTCAGAAATATCGCACCAAAGACACACCCAAATGGAATGTGACTCTGTACACAGATGCATTTAAAGAAAACTGAAAAATAGAGTTATTGAATTACCAAATGACTATTTTAAGGCGTCAAAAGAAGCTAGGACAAAACCAGAGCCATATCAGGAGATCCAATTGAGTTACGACTTCTTTAAGGACTACTCTCGAACAGAGTTGCAGCGATACTCAACAAGTAGACCAGGCAGGGACAATGTAGTCACGAACATCAAAGTACTATGTTATAATCCCGATCTAAAAATTGAAGTGAAACTAGACTTCAGTGAGTCTCAGGAGTTGCCTGAGACCAACACAGCTACCCGTCATTTCAGGTTATAAGTGCTATATCTAAGGACTGTCACAACTTGCCATATGTCAAGGAAAGAAGCTGAACGTTCATTTAAGCTGTCACTGAGAATGCTACTATCTTTTTGATTTGTAAAAGCATTAAACTTTTAATTAAGTCCATCTGTGCATCATAATACAATATCTGCTAACTGCAAAGAAAGTAGCAGAATTTTTTTTTATACTCCAACTACCACGAAGGCCTAAGGCCTAAGCACCCATTGGGTACCGTGGGGCTATAGGGGGATACATGGGAAAGGGGGAACGCCACACGGACTCTGGCGGGGGAACACGTGTGCATGCAACATGCACACATTCTGGCTCCGCCTACGAGATCCGCCGGGTGGTACCTCCGCGTTCGACAGTCAGAGACCGTCTACCACCTACGAACAATCACAACATCCATAGCCAAAAGAAAAATTTCTACTGGGACGGGACTCGAACCCACACAGCGCACGGCGACTGATCAGGAGACCGAAGAGTCTACTACTGCGGCCACCGCTGCTGCCTAAATGTCAACTATCTGCACTAGTTTTGTCAATCAGAGCTTCATTTAGATAAAAATGCATTAAGTATGTATTAAACATCAGTTATTTTTTGTGACCAAAGTTGTAGAGTCTTAGGGCCGGTAGTATCAAATTGATAAGGTTTTTTTGGTCCCCTGTAAAATTACGGTTCCTGCATATAGCAGGTATTGTCAGATGTCCGACGATATGCTATGTTTTCGCGGGACATAGCTCTCATATGTCATGTGAAATATTCATAATTACTGTGCCATATCATTATATGTTATGCTAGAAACACATTTTTCTAGAAGATTATATAGATTCTGTGTTAAAGTGATATTACCTGGCAAGTTGTCAGATCGTATGCTGTTACTTCTGATTGGAAAAGGCACACCTTTCAAAATGAATTGTATCTCATCCAAGGTCTTGCCTTTCGTCTCGGGGATGTATATTTGAGCGAAAAGTGCAGTTAAGATGCAGGAAAATGAGAAAATGTAGAAAGGAACGTCCATGCCGAAGTTCTCTGATAACCTTTTATAGACCTGAAATGAAAACCATTAATGAATACCTTCGAAGGGAAGTCGAACTTCTTCTTTTACACGAACCTTGAAAAGTATAAGGATAAGGACTTTCAATGGCAGAATTAAAAGACATTCTTGTAAAGAAGGCAGCATTTAAAAGGCAGCCCTGTCGAAAACACGTTTCAAGCTACTCTGAAAAACCCTCCAGGGTACCCGAAGTGACAGACTGGAGATAAAATGAGAGAGAGATGAAACCATTTAATATGATGAAGTTGTATTAGTTTGAAATACTTTCCCTTTTAATTTCTCCATATAAGTAGCTTTTCACATTTCGGTGACTATCACAAATATTTCTGCATAAAATAAGTAAAATTGACAACGTAGCTGCACAAAATCGGATCATTTCATATCATGTGCTTAGATCGAAATGATTTATCAAGTTTCTAAGTATGGTATAATGTAAGTACAAATGTAATATTTTTCTCATTGTCAAACAAATAAATACTTTTTGAAAGCATCCAGAAAATCAGAAAAGATTGCTTAACGTGGCAGTGACGATATATTAGCGCTTTGATTGATTTTATTTTCAAAATTACCTCTACAGAGATCCAGGCAAACAGTACGTAGAAGAAGTCAGCAAACGTCATCCCCATTGCTTTAACTTTGGCTGGAAATAGTTCGGCTGTCATCACGATGGGAATCATACCCAGGCCAAACTTGAAGACGAAAGCGTATACCATAACACTGACCACTGGAACCTGGAACAATATAATAATAATACATCTTTATTTCCGATTATAATGGGTGATTTTTTTGCTAGTATCTTTTTGGCAACACTTTTTTTGACAGATGACGCGTGAATCGTGTCTTGTGTCATTGTCAAACTTGTTCAGTTTGGTCTATAATTTAACCATGAATCGACTTACGAACGAACAACGCTTGCAAATTATTGAATTTTACTATCAAAATTCGTGCTCGGTTAAGAGAGTGCATCGAGCACTGCTTCCAATTTATGGGCAATTTCGAACCCAGTTTACATTATTGGACATTAAACCGCCAACACGCAGACGTAGAGTGAGGACTGAAGAAAATATTGCGGCTGTATCCGCCAGTGTTAGTGATGACCGTGAAATGTCGATTCGCCGCCGTTCGCAGCAATTGGGCCTCTGTTACTCCACTACGTGGAAAATTTTGCGACAGGATTTGGGTGTAAAACCTTACAAGATACAGCTGGTGCAAGAATTGAAGCCACACGACCTCCCACAACGTTTCCAATTTGGTGAATGGGCGCTGGCAAAGTTGGAGGAAGATCCACATTTTTATCGAAAAATTGTGTTCAGCGACGAAGCTCATTTCTGGTTGAATGGGTACGTTAACAAGCAAAATTGCCGCATCTGGAGTGAAGACCAGCCAGAAGCATTGCAAGAGCTACCAACGCATCCCGAAAAAATCACTGTTTGGTGTGGATTATGGGCCGGTGGCATTATCGGGCCGTACTTCTTCAAAGACGACAATGGCCGGAACGTAACTGTGAATGGCGAGCGCTACCGTGCGATGATAACAAACTTTTTTTTGCCCAAAATGGAAGAGCTGGACTTGGATGACATGTGGTTTCTACAAGACGGTGCCACATGCCACACCGCATACGAAACAATGGCCCTATTGAGAGGCGAGTTCGGTGAACAGTTTATCTCACGTTTGGGGCCCGTCAATTGGCCGCCTAGATCGTGTTATTTAACGCCGTTGGACTATTTCTTGTAGGGCCATGTTAAGGCTAATGTCTACAGGGATAAACCAGCAACGATTGACGCACTGGAAGCCAATATTGAACCAGTTATTCGTGAGATACCGGCCGATATGTTGGAGAGAGTGTGCCAAAATTGGACCGCCGCGGCCAACGTTTACATGAAATAATCTTTAAACGTTAAATTATATCGACCGTGCTATCGACCCAAATAAAGATTTAATCGTTTTTTCAAATTTTTGGCGTTTTTTTTTTAAATCAAATCGTATACCTCTTAAAAAATCTCCCGTTATAATATAATAGTACCTTATAATTATACAGGATGGGCCATGTATTAGTTAACATTTGAAAAAATCGTATGAAAAAAACATTTGACATATTTTAAAAATTGTTCAGTCACAAGAAAGCTAATTAGTTGGAATTCATTTCTTGAAAATAATATCATCTAAATGACTACCGTTACGATTTTTTAACTCTTCTAAACGTATACCGAAGTTTTCGAATACTCGTCGGCATAAAGAGTGCGAGATCGCCGACATCTCTTCGTTGATGTTTTCTTTTAGTTGACGGAGTGTACTTGGTTTATTGATGTAGACACGACTCTTTAAGTAACCCCATCAAAAAAGTCTGGTGGGGATAGAGCTGGACTTCTGGGTGGCCGTGTGATGTGGCCTCGTCTGGAAATGAGCTTTTCCGGAAACATTTCTTTGACCACCGGCAGAGACTCATTGGATGTGTGACAAGTGGCTCCATCTTGTTGAAATCATGTGTTACGATTATAGCCAGCAAATTACAGTAGCATCGGTGCCAAGAACTCCTGTAATATTTTCACATACTGGCCGCGAGAATCTTCAAAGAAGTAGGGGCCAATGATTCATTTTGCTGAAACTGCAGCCCATACAGTTACTTTAGGAGAGTAAAGTGGCTTCTCGTGTTTAGCTTTGGGATGGTGGAAATGGGCTTTGTCCGAAAATAAGAGATTGTCAACATTACTGAATCGAGCTAGCATCGTTTCGGCATACGACTTGCGCAAATTTAAATCATTAGGTTTTAGTTCCTGCACTATCTGGATCTTATATGGATGTAATTTCAAATCTAACCTCGGCGTAATGATGTGCGGGATAATCCTAATTCAGCCGAAAGTTTGGGCGTCGATAAATCTAGATCACAATGAACAGAAGCGGAAACTTGCTGCACGTTCTCTTTGCTCCGAGCAGTCCGTGGGCTCCGGTTTGCTTCACATTCAGTGTAGATCCCGTCTCTTCGAACTTTTTCACCCATTTCTTTATCGAAGGAGCACTCGGACACTGACTTAGTCATGTAAATTGTATTCAACGCGAAATAAGCGTCTCACAGTGATGAGCGCTGTTGTTTAAATAAAAATGTTTTACACAGTAAGCACCTTGCGGCACCGTAAAGCGATCCATGCGACTGAATTTCCGAGAAACGAGCTAGCGACTAGCCCCCTCCCCGACCTTCGCGCGGCATCTGTTTGCGTGGTGTATTAGATTTAAATGTTAACGAATTCTTGGCCCACCCTATATATGTTGCAGTCAAAACTCATAATCAGTCAAAAGCACTCCAGATCGATTTTTGCGGTCAAAACGTCTTTCGATCAAAACTCATAAAAAGTTAGGATAGTTACTGAAAATTGCCAGAACAAGCATCAAAAGGTTAATCCACCTATTTTTAAGGTGTAAAAGTCAAGTGTCTTGTCCATATAAAAATTAATTGACATCGCACCAGACCTGTAAACTATAAACAGGGTTGCATGTTTTTCAATGCAAAAATAATTTTTAGCTTTAACAGTGGCGTGCGTACGCGTATTGACTTCGACATTTTTTAAGAAAAAAAATGCTACTCCAATGGTTTTTTGCCAAATAAAAATTATTTTTGAATTCCCCGTGCAATTTAAGACAAATGATTTGTCTTGATTTGTTTTCCTTTGATGCGCCAGTTTTGAGTAAAAAAATAAAAACCGTTCTATTGCCTAACTTGCAAAACAACAAGAACTGACAACATAAACATAACATTAAAACCAACGAAATGATTACAAAAATTGTTGAAAATGGCCCCCTTCACTTAGTATGCATGCTTCCGCCCTCCTTCTCGTGGAATTGCGCACTCGTTGAAATATTCCTGGAGTGTTTTTTATTCTATCACAAGCTGCAACTATTATTTCTCTTAATTCCTCTACAGTGTTAATGGGACTTGTGTACACTAGTGTCTTGAGATGGCCCCACAAAAAGAAATCTAAGCTTTTGAGGTCTGGGGACCACGGTAGCCTTTGTTGGGGCAACTGTTGTTGAAGAAAATTGAGGTAAGTCTGTCCTTCAAGTCATCCCGTCAAGAAGAACGGGCCAATAAAGTGGTTGCCAATAATTCCTGCCCATACGTTAACCGAAAATTGAAGTTGGAAATGGGTTTCGGTTATGGCATAGGGATTTTCTTTTGCCCACAAATGATTATTGTGGAAATTCTGAATGGCATTTCGAGAAAAATTAGCTTCGTCCGTGAATAGAATCATTGATTCAAATTGCGGACAGAACTATTTGCAACAAGACGACGATGAATATTAGAAAAGGTTCGACTATCTGGCAAAGCAGGATCGAGATATCTCTAGTAATAAATCGGTCTGGCTTGGTCACCATTACTGTCGGCAAGGCCATATATGTACGTGTGGCATTTCCGCCATTTCTGCATTTGGATGATTCACCATTATTAACAAGATTGTAAAAACTAAATAATGAAAAAGATGTCGCAGCGAACAGATTTTAATAACAGAGACTTATCAGATGTCAAAAGCCAGTGACATATTCCAAGGAACTGGATATTTATTGCTAAATTGCATTCTTCAATTATTACATTAATTTTCTCGGACAATGGAACGGTTTTTATTTTTTTACTCAAAAATGGCGCATGAAGAAAAACAATTCACGAAAGACCATTTGTTCTAAATTGTACGGGGAATTCAAAAATAATTTTTGTTCAGCAAAAAACTATTGGCGTACCATTTTTTTTCTTAAAAAATATCGAAGTCAATACCCGTACGCACGCCACTGTTGAAGCTAAAAATTATGTTTGCATTGAAAAATATGCAGCTTTGTTAACCTTCACTACGTACTAAATATCAGTAAAATATCTGAGCGGTTCTGAAAACATTAATTAATTTCCATTTTTTTCCTAAAACGTCGACACCCCCGAGTTTTTGTTAGGAAACTTTCATAAAAGATGTTCGCCCTGTTGAATTTAGAATCACGTTGCTTTACTTATTGGCCCTTCGACCTGTTCATTCAATTCACATATCATGATAATAAGCCGATATTTTGCGGCCGCCGGCATATGGGATAAGAATGATGTCACATTGCTTATTCTGTTTATCTCGCCAGTATGAAACTAACTATGGAAATCATATTGGATTTATAATGACATCACGTGGCTTATTACGTTTGTATTACCAAGCCATTTTATTTGATCTCCATATCATTGGGTTGGCTATAGAAATTACAGATAGCCATTCTGCTGCGGTCGCCATTCTGGATTTAAAGTGACGTTGTTTATTGTGTTTCTCTCGCTAAGCCCTTTCATTTGATATCCATATCTGTGGAAATTATAGAGGCCTTCATTTTGCTGTGGTTGCCATATTGGATAATGAGTGTCGTCGCTTTTTTAACGGTGTTCCCCTTGCCAAACTATTTCATTTGATATCCATATCATGTGGGTGACTATGGAAGCTATAAATCGCCATTTTGCGGCGGCGACCTGATTGAACTAAAATGACACATTGCTTATTATGTTTGGGTTATCAAGCCCTTTTATTTGATATCCATATCAAATGAAAGTAAATCACTATTCTGTAGCATCCGTCATATGGGATTTAAAATGGCGACAGATCATTTATTATGTATCGTCACGAGAAAAAAGATGTATACAACATTTCAGTTCGAACAGATCAATCGTCCACAGATTAAGGTATAAAATGGTTTCTACCTACGAAAAATAATTGAGCTCCGT